GAAGTTATCTAATACAGATTCTATTTGCTCCAGGCCATCTCTATTCCTAACTTCTTGCTGGGGTCTGCAGGATGTTTAACTCTTTGTTACTGTTATCGGTAACCTAGAATTGCTGCAACTGTTACACCTGCATATTCTCTGTGAACAAGCATTCTTTGTTCTTGCCAGACAGACTCCCCAATTACAAGCACCCCAGTTTTTTTTCAAGAGCACGCCACAGCCTTGCCTCGATTTAGCAGACTGCCCATCAGGATGGAAGCCACTGATAGAGAAGGCTGCCTTCCGGAGTCCTGCCAGCCAAAATTCTCTAACTGATGGCTTCCGTGGCTTGCCCTCCTTGCCTGACCAGGCGGGGTGGGGCGATGTAATGGGGCGATGATGGCTCTCCAGTTTTCCTCTTTTTTTGATTGACAGATTGGCAGCAAGAAGTAAATCCGTTCTTCAGAGCATTGGCATCAGTCACATCCTTAACGCAGCCGACGGGCCCTACAACATAAACACTGGAGTCCGCTATTACCGGGACCTGCCGATTCAGTACTACGGGGTGCAAGCTTTTGACGACAACTCCTTCGACATAAGTGTCTTCTTCCACGAGGCTGCTGATTTCATACACAAGGCCTTAAATACTGCAGGAGGTAAGGAGAGATTTTTAAAAAAAGAGGAATGTGTTTACCAATTATTAAGTGATCTATGTTTAAAAAAATCAATAAAATATATTACCCAAAAAATGAGGAATGGCGTCAAAAAACAGGGCTGTGCTTTCAGTGCCGTCTATGGACGCTGGAAGCCTTTGCTTATTGTGGTTCAGGAAAGCTTTTTTGGACAGAGGTGGCTCTTCTGGCCCATCATTGCCAGTGATTATAAAGTAAAAGGAGATCGGTTTAATTCTTCATGCTTAGAATTAGAATTTTCTACACCAAGTAAGTAGGAAAAAGAGGGCGACTTGGAAGCTTGGAAAAGCAACACGCTCTAAAGTTGAGTTCAGCATCTGAGAACTTCATGGAGACAGCCGTGCTAACTCCTGGAAGCAATGCAGAAGTGGCTCCCTCCCAAAATGATTTTTCAAATCTTCCCAAGAGAACCGACTCTTCAACAGTGGTGGTAATAGCAATAGCAATAACAATAATAACAATAACAACAACAACAACAACAATAATAATACAAAATGCCACATCCAATCTAAACATCTGGCTGACTGTGCAATCACAATCAACCTCAACCATAATAGTAAAATATGGATTTATTTATCTCTGTCTGGAATAGCAGTTCAAGTTAGAGAAGTATACTCTTCAAGGAATATATTGTGAAACAATGATATCCATAGGTGGGAAATTGCATATGTACATATATACAGTAATGCCTTTTTTAAAGGGTTTTCTTTCTCTTATTTCCACCTGTTAAAGTTGCAGCCAGTGATGTTTAGAGTTAAACAGAAAATGAAGACATGGACTCTGAAGCATGTTGTTCCGTCCACGTGTGTGATTCTTACAATTTCATGTAAAAAGGAGAATAGTTACAGCCTTGCCCGCCTCAAATAAGATATATATGTTTTGTTACAATTTATGCTCTGAGGCTTTATTTGTCTTGGCCCAGAGAGGTTATTGCTGGGCTTAATCCAATCACATATCTAGGGCTACCCAATCAAAAATGTATGACTACAAAAATCCAGACCCTGTGAGAAAGTAGCAGAGATATACAAAAAACTTTACTCTCTCTAAAACTTTACTTATCTCGATTTTTGTAACTTTGATTGGACAGCCTTCCAAGTATTGGATAACCATTTGTCCAGGATGATGTAAGGTCTCCTGCCATGGACAGGGGGCTGGACTAGAAGATCTCCAAGGTCCTTTCCAGTCCTGCGATTCTACGGTTCTATATAGTTTATATGAAGATATGATTTTAAACAATATATTATGGATGATTATCCTTTCCACTTTCCTAGTAGCTGGTGTGCTATGCTAGCAGAGTTTGCTTGCTATGAAGAACCAAGATTCAGATTCCAATAATGATGTAATATTAATTTCATGTAAATTCAGCCTGAGATTATTCACCAGACAATAGGGTTTGGAGAGAGTTTGCAAAGAGGTGTCTGAAGAGTTGGGTGGGAAAAAAAATCAAGATTATGGTTGTGATAATTCAGTCAAAGCTCCGAATGTTTTTTATGTGTGTCACAACGCATAAAAATCAAGTAAGCTTTGATGGCATGATCCCAATCCCCTTTTTGATTTTTCTTGTGGACACCCCTGGTGGCCTATTAATTGTACACTATTGTACACGATTGTGCATTCAAAGTTGCTTATGTGATGTCTTTCCAGGCAAGGTCTTTGTCCACTGTGCGATGGGGCTAAGCCGTTCGGCTACTTTAGTGTTGGCATATTTGATGATCCACGAAAACCTGACACTTGTGGAAGCCTTGAAGTCAGTGGACTCTCACAGAGGCATCTGTCCAAACATCGGATTCCTCAGCCAACTGCGAGCCTTGGACATCAAATTAAACAACGGAAAAAAAGAGAGAGAGATAAAACTAATAGGACAGGGGACTGAATAGATCGTCAAATATAGGAATTCTGCAGTATTCTGAAGAAGAAGAAGAAGAAGAAGAAGAAGAAGAAGAAGAAGAAGAAGAAGAAGAAGAAGAAGAAGAAGAAGAAGAAGACGAAGAAGAAGAAGAAGAAGAAGAAGAAGAAGAAGAAGAAGAAGAAGAAGAAGAAGAAGAAGAAGAAGAAGAAGAAGAAGAAGAAGAAGAAGAAGAAGAAGAAGAGGAGGAGGAGGAGGAGGAGGAGGAGGAGAAGAGGAGGAGGAGGAGGAGGAGGAGAAGAGGAGGAGGAGGAGGAGGAGGAGAAAGCAAAAGGGAGTTGGAACTAGTAAACAAATAAATCCAGTGAGTTTCATGTCCCCTAACTCCAAGATTTTATTTATGTAATACAGATAGCCCATATTTTTTTAAAAAAATAAGTATCTCCATGGGATGTTTTCCCAGAAAAGACTTCTTCAGTTTAATGGGAGCAGAACTTTTGGAAGTCTTATTCATTGCAATGGAGGTCTTCAAATAAGATGGATTTAAAAGCGCATCGACATTAGCCCTCCCTTTATGTATTATTGAGAAAATCTACTTGGTTTTTCAATTGTTAATAAAATTATTTTTAAAAATCTACCAAGGATTTTTAAGAGGAGGTGTAATGATTTCCTTCACCAGCAGATGGAAGTATAAATCCAGTTTATGAAACTAAATCTGGCTGCATCTTTTTGCTTGAGGGTCGAGACAAGAGTCACAAGACTAAGTAAAAATTGGATTTTTTTTCAAAGACGTTTATAAAAACTGGGCAATTAATTCCTGTGAGATTTTTTTTTTCTGAAGAAGGCAGAGCCAAATATTTCTCAACGCTGGTCAAGAAAACTCCGCAGCGGAGTCACCAAGAGTCCTAGGAGCTCAATAGAGATTTTATCTCTGTCTCCACCCTGCCCACCCCAGCTATTATTTGTGACACTTACCTAATAAATAGTTCTGAACTTCTCCAATTACCCCTGCAATCTGGTGCATATTTAATTTTGTCCTATTAAATGTATGACCGTGTTGTTCTTATGGGTCAGCCTAGACTCCGTGAAAGAGCTTGTTACAGTGGTTATATGGGTGTTGCTGGAAGTTATGCTTATTGCTGTGGGAATTAATGTTGCAGGATCCAATCTGGGTCGGTTACTGGGACCGGAGGTATAGTCCTCCAAACTTTCAGACCTGTGCTGGAGAAAATCCTCGGAGAACTTCTCTCTACCGGAATGTGGTGGGAGATAACATTTTGGTGAGAGAGAAGATCTGCCATCTGAAAGCTCGTAAGACCAAAACCTCTGGTCCCGGTGATAGACCCAGATCAGATCTTGGAACACGATCCTGGGACACATAGATTCGCCTTCATTCATGGTTTAATATTATTATGATGGGTTCTCATACTTTCAGCCAGATGTTTAGACTGAATCTGGCATTTTTATTCATCTACTGCAGGGGTCTTCAAACTTGGCCCTTTGATGACTTGTGGACTTCAACTCCCAGAATTCCTCAGCCAGACTCAGGCACTGAGTCCTTCCCAAGGTTTTGGGATAGGTAGATGTTGTTCTTTGATGGTATTAAAATCTTGATGCAGGATTTACGCTGTTCCAAGTCAAGCTACCTTTTTGCAATTGACCAATGGTGAATTTGTCAATGCCAAAGGTGTTCAAGAGATGCTCCAGACGTTTTTGGGATTGCACTCAAGGCACTTGTTACTATTGGTGCTACCTTTGCTTTCCTTTGCCAGAGTTGTTTTACTTCTTTTTTTTGCAGGTGTTTGTATTTTGTGATTTTTCTCTGCTGCTGTCTCCACACCCACGATCCAGACTTTTTTTGGGGGGTCTTATTTCTTCCTTTCTTTTTTTCTGGGTGTTATGTCCCGAGCCTTTGCAAACGGCTCGGGCGTTTGCAGGCAGTCCCGGGCAGGTGCAAAGCTGCCCGGGACCAGACAGGCTGTCGCCAGCGCCGTGCGCATGCGCGGGTGCTGGCGCGGGAAAAGTAACCCATTTACCCGGGAGTTGCCTATATAAGGGGATGCGAGGCGTTTGGGCTGAGCTGAAGCCATCTTCCTGTAAGCTGAACGCTGAATAAAAGAACCTGAGGACTCCAGCTGCTTCTCGTGTCTGTTTTCCCGCCAAGGACGCAACACTGGCGACGAGGGTGGGATGCCTTGCACTACCTGGAAAGGAAAAAGTGTAAGCTTACCCAAGGAGTCCTGAGCGGCGGAAGAGGAACGGTGTTGACTCAGCAGCTGCCTGCCAATCCAGTGCGCATTCGGGGGTAGGCTGGCTGATAGACCCGTCTCCTGAAGATCCGAAGATGGCGAAAATCGGAAGGCTTGCGGAATTCGACGTCTCACATCCAGAGCGGTGGGAGTCCTACGTATCCAGAATGGAGAACTACTTCAAGGCAAACCAAGTGAGGGAAGATAGCTTGAAGGCTGCCACCCTGCTTTGCGCTTGCGGCCAAGACGCCTTCGAAATCGCAGAAAACCTTGCAGCACCTGTTCCAGTAGAGGCTGTAAGCTACGCAGACCTGAAGAAGCTGCTGAAGGACCACTTCCACCCCAAGGTGTCCGTTATCTCATGGCGCCACACCTTCGAGCAGAGGGATCAACGGTCCGGTGAGTCAGTCAAGGAATACATCGCCGCGTTACGGAAGGCCGCCAAGCCCTGCGAGTTCAAGGACCTCGAGGAACGACTGAGGGACCGATTCGTGTGCGGGTTGAGGCATCGAGAGCTAAAACAGAGACTTTTCGCTAAGGAAGAATTATCCTTCCAAGACGCTTTAAGGGAAGCCACCGCGGAAGAAGCAGCAGGCGGCGCCGTCAAGAACATGCGGCCGATCAGAACCAGTGCAGAGGGTGCGTCCGTGCACCAAGAAGACGTCCGACGAAACTCCGAGGAGGATCCGGACGAAGAAGTCGACCGTCTACACCCCGCGAAGGGAGAAAATCAGAAGGAAAGCTCTTCAGCTCCGCTCAAGTGCATCGGCTGTGGAGGTCGCCACAGGAGAACCGACTGCAAGTTCCGCTCAGCTACCTGCCGGGCATGCGGCAAACAAGGGCACATTGCAGCTGTGTGTCTGGGCCGACGAAAGGCACAACCTCAAGAAGAACGCCTGAAGGGTACCAGAGTCCCCAGCCAGAATAGGGTAGGTTTTTGCGCTTCGCGTAGAAACATCTGTAGGACAGGCACACACAAGCCCATGAAGACAAAGCTGTCACTCAACGTGAAGCTACAAGGGGTTCCATTATCTATGGAACTAGACACAGGGTCTGCCCTTTCCATCATTTCATTGCATACATGTAGGAAGATTTGTTCCAGTAGTGGGACTAAGGCCAAGTTAAGGCCTTCTGATATTGTATTAACTGATTTTCAGAACTCAAGAGTGTGTGTTAAGGGGGAGGCCACCCTTAACGTGCAATAAAAGAGTTTTGAAGGTCCACTAGACTTGTTAGTAGTAGGGGGTGAAAGAACGAGTCTCATAGGACTCGATTGGTTTGAGGCCCTGGGGATACACGTCACAGGACTCAACAGCTTAAAAACACTCGACCTACAGGAAGTCTGCAAGGAATTTGCAGATGTTTTCAGCCCCCAGCTGGGCACATTCAAAGGACCACCTGTGTCCTTAAAGCTAGACCCCACTGTCACTCCCATTAGGATTAAAGCAAGAAGGGTCCCTTTTGCTTTAAAAAGTAAGATTGACACTGAATTAGACAAACTAATCCACCAAGGAATCCTAGAACCTGTTGATTCCAGCCCATGGGAGACCCCCATTGTCACGCCTCTAAAGGCAAATGGGGACATTCGCATTTGTGCTGATTACAAATGCACACTCAATAAGGCATTGCAGCAACATGCCTATCCTGTTCCTGTGGTTAGTCACATCCTGGCCTCTCTCAAGGGGGGGCGTGTTTTTGCAAAGCTTGACCTAGCTCAAGCATATCAACAGCTGCCTGTTGATGATGATGCTGCCTAGCTCAGACTATTGTGACCCACAGGGGAGCCTTTAAGGTAAAAAGGCTACAGTTCGGAGTGAATGTTGCTCCTGGGATTTTCCAAAGCGTAATGGAAAACACACTACGAGGTATACCAGGGGTCTGCCCCTATTTTGACGATGTCTTGATTGCAGGAGACTCCACACACATTCTAGCGGAAAGGCTTAGGGCTGTCCTGTTAAGATTCAGGAAATCAGGCCTCAAGCTCAGAAAAGACAAATGCCAGATTGGGGTGCCTTCTACTGAATTTCTGGGATTCAAAATTGATGCTGCTGGGATTCATCCTGCTGAATCCAAACTAACTTCTATTTTAGATGCACCCAGGCCAAAGTCTAAGGCCGAACTTCAGGCCTTCCTAGGCCTCCTGAATTTCTACAATTCTTTTCTTCCACATAAAGCTAGTGTAGCTGAGCCTCTTCACAGTCTACTAGACAAACAAGCTGTGTGGCTGTGGTCACAAGCACATGAGGCTTGCTTTAAAGAAGTCAAGGCCTTGCTCACTTCTAACAGTGTTCTTGCACATTTCAACGAGTCTCTTCCTGTGTGCATCGCTTGTGATGCATACCCCTACGGGGTTGGAGCTGTCCTGAGTCACCTCAGGTCTGATGGAACTCAGGTTCCTATTGCATACTACTCCAGAACACTGTCTTCTGCCGAGCGCAACTACGCTCAGATAGACAGGGAGGCTCTGGCGGTTGTTGCTGGAATTAAAAAATTCCACGATTTTCTATATGGCAGGCACTTCACGGTCTTCACTGACCATAAGCCTCTGATGGGACTGTTTACCACACGTAAGCAGACTCCCCAAATCATTTCCCCTAGAATGCTTAGGTGGTCTATTTTTTTGTCTGCATATGATTTTTCTTTACTCCACAAGCCTGGAAAAGAAATGGGCATGCTGATGGCCTCAGTAGATTGCCTCTGCCAGTAGTAGAAGCTGACCCTGCGCCAGCTGTCAACATTCTATCAATCCAAGCCTTTCCCGAGCTCCCTCTTAGTGCCAGGGATGTTGCCGCTGAAACAGGTACAGATCACACACTTTCACGTGTCGCTCCTGGGTCCTCGTCCGGGTGGCCCTGAGCACTGCCCTAGTCCTGAGTTTCAGATGTTTCTGGTCAAAGGAACGAATTGTCCTTTCTCAGGGTTGTTTGCTTTGGGAAACAGAGTTGTCATTCCCACCTCAATGAGGGGACTAGGGTCTTAGAATCCTCAGAGGGTACATCAGGCAGGTTCGTATAGGCTCTTGCACGCAGCACTTGTGGTGGCCTGGTTTAGATAAAGGTATTGAGGCTAAGGTACACGCATGCCACCTGTGCCAACGATCTAGCCCAGAGATGCCCCAAGCTCCTGTGCATAGATGGGAGGAAACACAGTCCCCATGGTCTAGGGTGCACATTGACTACGCTGGGCCCTTTCAGGGCCAGTTCTTCTTGGTCCTTGTTGACAGCCATTCAAAATGGCTTGAGGTTGTGCCTGTCTCATCCACCACCACTGCAAAGACTATTCAGGTACGGAGGGGGATTTTTGCTGCACACGGGCTGCCAGATGTCATTGTGTCCGACAACGGCCCTCAATTCACCTCCTCCGAATTCCCAGCTTTCTTACAGGCCCCAAACCCTGCACCTTCGTCATTGCACATCTGCGCCCTTTCACCCTTCCACCAACGGTATGGCGAACGAATGGTGCGCATCGCAAAGGACGCCTTGAAGAGACTCACTTGACGGGGACTGGCATCACAGGTTGGCGGATTTCTACCTTTCTTATCGCACCACAACCGTTCCATTTCTACAGGGATGAAGTCCAGGCTGAACTTCGTTGGCGGCGCCAAACCTTACTACGAGACTTGACCGGTTGCAATCGGACAGACTGCCTTACATCTACCTCACATCCTAGGGGCACCTAAGGACAATACTTGTGGGTGCCCCGGTTTGGGCTCGCAATTACGGGCCTGGTCATACTGGTCCACGCTTCTTGTCCAGGATCACAGGTCCTCTCTCCTACGAGAAGGTTGCCCTGGAAACGGTCGTGTCCTGCGGTCGGCCAACATCGACCACCGCTCTAGGGGGAACTTTCTGCTGAAACTCCTGGGTCTTTTCCAGGGGGGGAGGGGGAACCTTTGGAGCAAAGGGAAGGGCAAGAGCTACTGCCCACCTCCACTGAGGGAGCCACAAACGGCCCATCTCAGGGTTCTGCAATTGCTCCGAAAAGAAAGTCATGGAGCTTACCCACACAACAGGCACTCACGCCTACTCCAGCCAGGGAGTCACCCGGGGGGCATACTCACTTTCCACACACATCACACAGCACTCCAGCAACGGAGGATACCCGGGGGCATCCCAACAAATCATTCCCCGCAAGAGAGCTGGCACACAATTCCCAAGGTTGGCCTGACCTTACCCCAAATCCTACAGGGGTTCAAACATACACAGAGCTAGTCGAGGAACCAAGTCCCGACTACAACACCCCTAGCACAAATCAGGGAACACCTGAGTTTTGGGAAAGTACAGAAACCCACACGAGCCCGAACACAGAATGGGGTTCAGGGAATGGACAGCCTCCTGACAGGTCTTGGACTGACCTAGGAGTTTCTACAGAGACGCCCAGCAGCGGCTATCACTTCAAGGGGCCTGAGGGTCTACAGCTAGGTAGGTCAACCAGGTCACAAAGTAACAGAAGCCCTGGCCTGACGAGCCCGGTGGGCAAGCAAGCAGGCCAGGCATCGGGGCACAGTCCCTGGAAGACACCAGGGCACAATAGAGAGAACAGGCTCACGCCTCCCTCCAGTCAGGGGACTTATGCCAGTCACCCAGAGCTAAGAAGGTCACAGAGAGCAAAGAAATCTCCTAAGTATCTAGAAGATTACATAACATTGCTGGCAAGGCAAAAGCCAGTAATCAGTGGGAGCACTGGGGAGCAAAATGTCATATAAAATTAATGTTGTATGTTGGTAGTAGTTTTAGCCCGGGGGAAAGGGGTGTTATGTCCCGAGCCTTGCAAACGGCTCGGGCGTTTGCAGGCAGTTCCGGGCAGGTGCAAAGCTGCCCGGGACCAGACAGGCTGTCGCCAGCGCCGTGCGCATGCGCGGGTGCTGGCGCGGGACAAGTAAACCACGACCAAAAACGTGCCACAACGCCATTTAACCCGGAGTTGCTATATAAGAGGCTGCGAGGCGTTGTGGGCGAGGCTGAAGCCATCTTAATGTAGCTGAACCGCTATAATATGAACTGAGAACTCCAGCTGCTTCTCGTGTCTGTTTTCCCGCCACGGACTCAACACTTTCCAACCTTTAGATCTATCCCAGAGGCGCAGAAGTGGGGAGAAGTTTGCAAGAACCTCCATTTCTTAATCAGGAACAGGAGGGAAGAGAGATGTCACTCTTAAGGTTGGCTGCATGGAGTCTGCCTGCTAGTCCATATAATGTGGTCCACTTGGGAGTTTTTCCAGAAACCATAAATGTATCCTGTTTTAAAACGTGGGAATCCAGATGTTAAGATCTATATCTTAATAAATTGATATGGTAAAGCCTTGTAAGGTCTTCGGCTGGGACAAATGAACGCTTCATTAGTGACTCTAGATGTTTAAAACTGCAGTAACAAATATGTAACTCGCTTGGTAATTCTTAATGAGTATGTGTTAATGGTTAATTAATTAATGGGAAATGTGTTTCTTAATGAGGACTCAGTTGAGGACAATATACTTGTAAACAGGTTGGAGACGGCTGTAAAGCACTGTGAAGCGGTATATAAGTCTAACCGCGGTTGCTAATCATTGAACTTGAGCAAATCCTGACTGGGCCTTAGCCGTTGGATATCGCCTGACGAGCGTAGGAGGCGCCATAACAAAACAATGGCGCGCCCGCAACGCGTACTTTGACCAATCAGAGAAGACTCCGCGGCCGAACCCAGCTCACTCTCCCGCGCTTGCCCAGTGCGGGAGTGTAACCCTAAGGCGGAAGCAACTCGGGTCTAGAGCGCAGCATTCGTTGCCGAGCAACCGCGAGCGGCCGGGGCGTGGTCGGCCTGCGCCTGCGCAGACTCTTCCAGCCGTAAAGCGCGACGCCGTCGACTCGCTCTGCTGGCCTCCCGCCGCGGGCGGGCGCGAAATGTCGTGAGCCGCATCCGGCCGGTCGACGGCGCGGGAGCGACCGCGGGCGGGTGGCGACCGGCGGCCTCCCATGCTCCGTCGGTGGCGGCGGCGGCGGGTGTCCCTGTCCTTCCCCTCCCCCTTCATGCGGGGTCCGGGCCGGGGCCGCGCCCGAGTCGCCCCCGCCCGTTATGGCCAGGAAGACAGTTAGCAGGAAGAGGAGAGCGGCCGCCCCCGCGTCGGGGCCCGGCGGAGAGCAGGTGGGTTGCGGCCCTTCGCTTCTCCGGGACTACAGCCCCATCGGCCCCGGCCCTATGCTCAGAAGGTCGCGGGACTACAGGTCCCATGAGCTTCGCGGCGGGGTGTGTGTCGCCGGGGTACCTTTCCCATCGCTTCGGGGTAATTCTCTTCGCTGCTAGCTGGGAGGGGGACTCCACGGACTACGGACTCCATCGCTCCCGTTCAAGTGGATGGGGTGACTACAGCGTCCATTGGCCTCTCACTCTGCTAAGGACGTTCGTGGGGAGGGAGTGGTGCTGGATTGTCGTTGCCATCGCTCCCAGCCGGAAGGGCAATCCTAGCCGGGACTACATTGTCCATCGCTCCCATTTGATGGGATGACTACATCCCCCATCGCTCCCTGCCCTCTTCTAACCGTGTCTGGGTCGCAGGACTGGACGTCCCATGCTCCCCGCGGGCGGTGGTCTTGCAGACTCCTTCCCCATCGCTCCCAGCCGGGAGGAGGGGGAAATTCAAGCCGGGACTACAGCGCCCATGGCTCCCATTCAAAGGGATGGGAAGACTACAGCTCCCATCGCTCCTTCCCTCTTCTAGCCGCGTCTGGGGTCTCGGAGCTATAGCTTCCATGCTCCCCGCGGGGAGGGGCCACCGGCCTCCTTTCCATCACTCCCGGCCAGGACTACAGTCTCCATCGCTCCCTCCTCCCCCTAAGCGCGATGGGTCGCAATACTACAACTCCCATGCTGCCCGCGGGCGGTGGTCTTCCAGACCCCTTCCCCATCGCTCCTAGCCGGGAGGGGGAAATCCCAGCCGGGACTACCGCGCCCATTGCTCCATTCCAGGGGATAACTACAGCCCTATCACTCCCCCTCTTCCTAATCGCGTTTGGGGGGAGGGTCGGAGGGCTGCAGCTCCCATCCTCCCCGCAGGCGATGATCTTCCGAACCCCTTGCCTATGACTCCCAGAGGGGACTACAGCGCCCATCGCTCCCACTCAAGGGGATGGAACAACGACAGCCCCCATCATTCCCTTCTTCTAACCGAGTCTGCGCTCGCAGGGCTGCAATTCCCATCCTCCCCGCGGGCGGTGGTCTTCTGGACCCCTGTTCCATCGTTCCCAGCCTTTCCCATCTTTCGCTGCTGGGGGGGAGGTTGGATCTGAGGTGGTTCTCCTCGCTCTTACCCGAGAGGGGGATTCCGCGGACTACAGACTCCATCGCTCCCGTTCAAGTGAATGTGATGACTACAGCGCCCATCGGCCCCTCCCCTCTTCCTAACCATGTTTGTGGGAGTCGCGGGACTTCAGCTCCCATCCTTCCCGCGGGCGGTGGCCTTCCGGACCCCTTCCCCATCGCTCCCAACCGGGAGGGGGGAATCTCAGCTGGGACTACAGCGCCCATCGTCCCCATTCAGTGGCTTGACTGCACCCCCATCACTCCCTCCCTTCTAACCGCGTTTAGGGAGTCGCAGGACTGCAGTTCCCTCCTCCCCGCGGGCGGTGGCCTTCCGGACCCCTGGCCCATCGCTCCCAGCCGGGACTACAGCGCCCATCGCCCGACAGTCCCGTGGGGGCCGGCGGCGCGGGGAGCGCTGCGGGCGGGTTCGGCGTTCGGAGCCCCGTAACCGACCCGGCGGCGGCGAAGGGCGACGATGCTTCGGGGCGGCGGCGGCGGCGGCGGCGGCTGGCGGCGGAGGGAGCCGTGGCGGCGGCGGGGATCGAGCGCCCCGGCCCGGGGGAAGGTGGGCGGCCCTTGGAGCCGAGCCCGGCGGGGCTCCCTTTCAGGGGAAGGAGCTCTTGCACCGCAGGATGGAGCGATTGGGCGCCGGGTTAGGGCTGTGGTCGTGTGAATGCCCGTCTTATCTATTCCGGGTGCCTGGAGGGAGTAGCAGGAAAGGGTTAACGCCTCTTTTGGTGAGGAGGCGGGGCTAGAAGAGTTGGGCTAATTTAATGAGCTCCTGACTAATTATAGCTTAGCTCTGGTTTAGCTCAGCATTGCTCAATCTTGCCTTTCAGATCGGTGGACTCCAATTCCCCAAATTACCTGGCCAGCAGGGCTGGCTGAGGAATTCTGGGAGTTGAAGTCCATGAGACTTAAAGGTGCCAAGGTTGGCTACCCCTGCCCTAAAAAAAAAAAATGGACTTGGTAAGCAAAGGTGGCTGGGGAATTCTGGGAATTGGAGTCCCCCACCCCATCTGAAAGCTGTCAAGGTTGAGCAATGCTGGTTTAGCCAAAGTCCTGTTGCAGGAAGCACAGGAGAGTTTGGCTTGATCTCAGCTACAGCCAGGCATCTTGGTTTGGCCCCTTCCATGTTTTATTTTTATTCATTTTTTAAAATTTTATGTCTGAGTTAGAGTTGAGTATTTATCTTTGGATATTATTTAGTTTGTATTGTGTCTAGGTTTTGTAAAATTTTTATCTTTTTTTTTAATATTGTAAATCGCCCAGAGTTACCTTATGGTAAGATGGGCAGTCAATAAAGTTAATAATAACTAAATAATAGTAAATAATAAATTAGATGTATATACTGCCCCTCTCATCTAGAGAGACTGAGCAGCTTACAAACATTAGTTTTAATTATAAAACATAATAGTTTTAGAGTCAGTTAATTTCTGCACTGGCTTGTTCTATTATAGTTTTATTTATTTTCTGCCCTCTATAAGTAGTCCTTGACTTACAACAGTTTAGTGGCCATTTGAGGTTGCAACGGCACTGAAAAAAGTGACTTAAAACCATTTTTCACACTTAACGACTCTTGCAGCATCCCCATGGTCACATGATCAAAATTCGGACACTTGGCAACTGACTCATATTTATGACGGTTGTAGTGTCCCACTGTCACGCGATCCCCTTTTGCGACCTGAGAAGCAAAGTCAGTGGGGACGTCAGATTCACTTAACAACTGTATGACTCCTAACAACTGCAGTGATTCGCTTAAAAACTGTGGCAAGAAAGGTCGTAAAAATGAGGCAAAATACACTTAACTATTGTCTTGCTTAGCAAGAAAAAAATTTGGGCTCAGCTGTGGTCGTAACTGGAGGACTATCTGCATTTCTAACCTGATCTGGTCAACAGGGAGCTCTAGGCAAGCTGTTAAAACCACTCAAGAAAACTAGAAAAAAAAGCATAGACTTTTCACTCTTTAGCGCGGTAGAAAAAGGCCTCAAGTTTTTATTTTTGCCTTATAATATGTACTAGCCGTTTCTATAACAACAAACCTGTCTAATCAATAAAACCCAAGTTTAATTTTCCAACTCAAGCACAAAGTCCAGAAGCGGTTCCCAAGTAAAAACAAAGTCAGTTATATTCTTTTTTTTTTAATTAATTTTTTAAAAGCAGTCGATTTAGCCATCTCTGCTTACGTCCACCAGTTTTTGCAGCTATCGTGGGAATCGATTTACAAGCGTTCATTTAGTGACCGTTCAAAGTTACAACATCACTGAAAAAAAGTGGTTTATGACCATTTTTCACACTTATACGACCGATGCAGCATCCCCAGGGTCACGTGATCAAAACTCGGAGGTTTGGCAACTGACTCATTTATGACGGTCGCGGTGTCCCAAGATCACGTGATCCCCTCTTGCGTCCGTCTGACGAGCAGAGTCAGGGGGGAAGCCAGGTTCACTGAACAGCCCTGTGACAAACTTAACAACTGCAGTGATTCACTTAACCCCTGTGGCAAGAAAGGTCGTAAAATGGGGTAAAACTCACCTAACGAATGTCTCGCTTAGCAACACAAATGTTGGGCTCCGTTGTGGCCGTAAGCTGAGGACTATCTGTATCCTTCCGTTTTTGTGCATCGGTCATTCTTGCTGCTGTCGGCGTATTATAACATCAAGAGTTCTGTTTTTTGTTTTTCAAGCTTATTGTCCATTAAGGGGACAAATGGATCTTCAGGGGAGGCTTCTCTGTGGGACAAAGGTACCCTAGAAAGCAGATCTTTCCTCTGGATCTAATCAAAACAGACCTACTTCAACCCCCTAGAGCAGGTTTTCCCAACCAACTTTAAGACACGTGGACTTCAGCTCCCACATGCTGGCTGGGGAATTGTGGGAGTAGCGCGTTGCAGTAGTCCTCACGTCTGGATGTAGACGCGTCTACATGGGGCTACCCTTGAAAAGTATTCGGAGACTACAGTTGGTCCATAATGCAGCCGCGCGAGTGATAGTGGGTGCTCCTCAATACACCCACGTTACACCTATCCTCCGTGAGCTGCACTGGTTGCCTATTGGTCTTCGGGTCCAATTCAAGGTGTTGGTCATTACCTTTAAAGCCCTATATGGCTCAGGGCCAGGCTATTTGCGAGACCGCCTACTACCTCATAGTTCCCTACGTCCGGTTAGATCCCACAGGCTGGGCCTCCTTCAGGTCCCGTCGGCCAAGCAGTGCCATTTGGCGGGGCCGCGGAGGAGGGCCTTCTCTGTGATGGCGCCTACGCTTTGGAACCAGCTCCCCCCGGAGATTAGGATCGCTCCCACCCGTTGGTCTTCCGTAAGCTACTTAAGACCTGCCTTTTCCGGCAGGCCTGGGGTTTATAAAACCTGACCCCTGGATGACTGTCTTTGCATTGTTTGTTTTGTTATGTTGCATGTGTTTTTTATTGTTAGCCGCCCAGAGTCCTTCGGGAGTGGGGCGGCTTATCAATTTTAAAAATAAAATAAATAAATAAAGTTGAAGTCCACGGGTCTTAAAATTTGCCAAGGTTGAGAAACACTTATTTAGAGATTCCTTGTTCGTCATTTTCCTGCAGTACGGCTGGGATCACTCGGTCCATAAAAGGAAGAGACTTCCGCCGGTGAAGAGGTCCTTGGTGTGCTACCTGAAAGGACGAGAGGTGCGGCTTTCCAACGAGTCCAGCTACCATCGCTTGTTGCACGCGTACGCCGCTCAGCAGCTGCCCGGTTTGCTGAAGGAAAGAGAATTTCAGCTGGGAACGCTTAATAAGGTCTTTGCGTCGCAGTGGTTGAACCACCGGCAAGTGGTGTGCGGGACAAAATGCAATACGGTAAGTGCCCGTTCCCGGGGTTGGATGGTATGAAACTTAATACTCGGTGTTAATCCTCCAAGGTGAACTAGGCAGAAGGGCGAGAGGAAAAAACGGTACAATTCTGAATTTGTGAATTTGTAAATCACTCCGCCTATAGTGGTGGCTGGAGGTGGCTATAGGAATGAGACAGAGATCTGGCTGCACAAGACCAAGTCTTGAGGACAAATGCATGCAAAGCCAGAATTGAGAAGACAGCAACAGACAGCAAGTGCCGCCTCTGCAAAGAAGCTGAAGAAACAGTGGATCGCCTACTAAGTTGCCGCAAGAGGATCACCCAGAGATCTGGCTGCACAAGACCAAGTCTTGAGGACAAATGCATGCATTTGTCAGAACTTTTAAGACTTGTGGAATTCGACTCCCAGAATTCCCCAGCCAATGTGGCTGGATTTCTGGCAGTTGAGGTCCACAAGCTGGCTGGGGAAATTCTGGGAGTTGAAGTCCACAAGTCTTATACTTGCCAAGATTGAAGACCACTGGATTAAGAGAAGACCCCTCTCTCCCTGTCTTTTAATTGTAAATTATGACTCATCACAGGCTACCAGATGCTCAAACAGGATTTGGCAATTTTATCCACGTATTGAATCCTTCCCAGGGACCTGGATAGGCAGATGCTGATGTTTTGTGATGTTAAAGCTGCTGTTGCAGGATGTAAACTGTTGAGTCAAGTTGCCTTTTGCAACTGACTGGTGGGGATTTTGTCAATGCTGATGGTGCTCCAGTTTTGGGATTGCGCCCAAGGTGTCTATGACTTGTTTATTACCTTTGCTTGCTTTTGCCACAATCATTCTACTTCTCTTTGCAGTCTTTGCATCTTATGGTCTTCTCCAGTTCTTTCTCTTCTCTTCTGCTGCCTCCAGATACTGCCACATCCTTTATCCAGACTTTTTGGCCTTGCTTCTCAAGAATTGTAAGTCTGGGGTGTTGTGTGGCAGGTGCTTGCCTGTTTGAATTCTAAGGTCCCAGAGCAATTTAATGTCTTCATTTTCTGTGACTTTCTCTATTTTATGGTCCCACCAGTTCTTGCTTGCAGGCAAATGATATTTCTTGCAGATCCTCCAGTGCACCATTGTTGCTACTTTGTCATGCCGCTGCTTGTAGTCAGTCTGGATGATCCTCTTGCGGCAACTTAGTAGGCGATCCACTGTTTCTTCAGCTTCTTTGCAGAGGCGGCACTTGCTGTCTGTTGCTGTCTTCTCAATTCTGGCTTTGCATGCATTTGTCCTCAAGACTTGGTCTTGTGCAGCCAGAATTAGTCTCTCGGTCTGTTTCTTCACTTTTCTGCTCTTAGCCATTGCCAGGTCTTGTTGCTTTCCTTGCTATTTTTTTTTAATAGTGTGGCCCTGTAATACTTTTGTCTTCCCATGTTTCCATTTTGTTCTTCATTTGGTCTCTCTTGTAGGCCAGTTTGGTCTGTCCAGTAGTCAGTAAGTCTTCCTGATATAATAGCTTCAGTGCATCTTCTTCTCTGCCCTTCAGATATTCTTTCCATGTCCTTTTTTTTTCAGATTATGATTTAAATGTATTGCCTGCCCAAATCAAATGGATTCTGGCTTGCTTGAAGTTGGCTTAGTGAGTTGGTTAATTTAACCAACTGTGGTTCAACCAATAACACTCTGTAAATTCTTCAGTAGCTCATTTTCTAACCCTTGAATTAAAGTGGTAATTGAAATTCTTCTGCCCAGGAATGGACTTGTTTTTTAACTTTTTATTAAAAATAAGAAGGAGCAATTCTGAGATTCCTAGACATAACATGCCTGATTTATTTTAGGTTTAGCATTTGTTGTGAAGCCAGCTGTTGCAGTTGGGAAACATGATTAATGATTAATCACAATATATGTGTTGTCTGGATCTTATCTAGGCTGGGAACATTTGCTTTCTACATTGTGTGCTTGTGTGTGTGTGTGTGTGTGTGAGAGAGAGAGAGAGAGAGTGAGAGTGAGTTACTGTTCTGTGTCAACTCTGCTAACATTGGATGTTCTTGCTTTGACAACATATGAAGATGCAGCCTTTTTCTTTCTTATGCTTTACTCTTAGAATTAGATTATACTGGGGGAGGGAGAGGAATGTGATGGGAATTAGTTAGACATACAGTATTGTAATAAGAGATGATAAGGCATGGCAGGATGAAGAACTGGGCGGAAAGCCAGCATTTCAAACTAATTGGAGAATGTGATTTATGACTGTTAGTTGTAGGAGGGAATTGTGCTTTGATCTATGTGCTGAGGGGAGGGGAAGTCAGATTTTGGCTTTGACCATGTACTTGCCTCATGCCATGTTATTTGAATAAAGATTCTTTAAGATAAACAATGCCTGGAAGTTCTTTGAAGAGTAACATCTGTCGGAACTATGACATTCTGCAAAGCTGACAACTATTGCCTTGTTTTTAGTAATGTTGCAATGGTGTTTACAAGTAGTCCTCAACGTATGACCACAATTGAGCCCAACATTTTGGTTACTAAGTGAGACAGTTGTTAAGTGATTTTTGCCACATTTTATGACTTTTCTTTGCCATAGTTAAATTAGTCACAAGTGAATCTGGCTTCCCCATCGTTGCAAAAAGTTATCACCTGATCCCAGGACACTGCAGTTGTCCTACAGATGAACCGGTTGCCAAAGATCGTGATTTTGATCACGTGACCCTGGGGATGCCGCAACGATTGTAAGTGTGAAAAGTGATTGTAATTCACTTTTTTTCCAGCGCCATTGTAACTTTGGTCACTAAACGAACAGTTGTATGTCAAGGACTGCCTGTACCACTTTGACCTAGAATTATACCAATCATAAAGTCTTTTATAGTCCTTGACTTAACAACCGTTCGTTTAGTGACCGTTCAAAGTTACAACGGCCCGGAAAAAAAGTGACTTGTGACCATTTTTCACAGTTACAACCTTTGCAGCATCCCCAGGGTCACGTGATCCAAATACAGACGCTCGGCAACTGACTCATATTTATGACGGTCGCTGTGTCCCGGGGTCACGCGAATCCCCTTTTGCGACCTCTGACAAGTAAAGTCAAGAGGGAAGCTGGGTTCGCTTAACGACCGTGTTACTCACTTAACAACTGGCAATCATTCACTTAACCCCTGTGGCAAGAAAGGTTGTAAAATGGGGCAAATCTCACTGAACAACTGCCTCACTTAGCAACAACAATTTTGGGCTCAATTGTGGTCATCATTCGAGGGCTACCTGTGCGCCAAATATAGCCCAAATGAATGAATATATAAGTCAAGGAGTACCTGCAATTGCTGCGTCCGAGCAACTTGTCTGAAGTGGGGGGGGGGCAGAAGCCTTGTGGAATTGTTCTCACTTTGCCATCCTGTCCTGGTTGTTTGTGCTATTCCTCTCTTTCTGCATCTTGCTTGTGTCGTCCCCGTAGAGGAGTTCAGAAGAACTGGTTTGCCCTGTAAACACAATAGGTATGTTCCTTCTTGTTAACTGTGCCTTAGCAGGGCTGGAGAAAATGCAGCTTAACAGGCTCGGCCTGTCTGAAGTGTAACTTTTTATGGGGCCTTGTTGACTATCACACCTGACTCGCTGTTATGACTTACTTGAGAGCAATTCTGCCTCAAGGTGCTTAAAAATAGGTTGGGCACGCCTGCATTTCATTTGATATTTGGTATATGAATAATGTGGTTTCTTGGGAGATGATGCGTACCCCGCAGAAGTGGGCATCGTCATCCTTATAACGCATGAAGGGGAAAGTTGTACATACCTTAGAACCGGGGTGGGCAATTCATTTCCCCATTATATACTAGTGGCTTGCCCTGTCATTGCTGGCAGGGAGTGTTCTTGGTGAAGAGCCACCCCACTCCCTTCTAGCACTGATGGTCTTACCTAGTGGGGTAATGAAACGTCTGCAAGAAAACATCTTAGAGAGCACCAAGGACCCCACAGTCGTCATCCTCCTCTTCCTCCTCCACTCTATAAACCCCTTTCCCTTCAAGCCCTGATGATGCTACCTAGTTGGGTCATAAAAGGTCTGCAAGAAAACCACCAAACTCAGAGAGCACCAAGGACCCTTCAGTCCTCTCCTCTTCCTCCTCCTCCTCCCCTTCACCCTCCTCCCTTATAGCGCTGATGACATTACCTAGTTGGGTCATGAAATGTCTACAAGAAAACCACCAAGCTGAGAGAGAGCATTAAGGATCCCTCAATTCTCCTCCACCACTCCAAAAACTCCTCTCCTTTCTAGCACTGATGACATTACCTAGTTGGGTCGTGAAACATCTGCAAGAAAACCACCAAGCTCAGAGAGCACCAAGGACCCCTCAGTCCTCTCCTCCTCCTCCCCCTCCTCCTCCTCCTCCCCCCTCCCTCCTCCCTTCTAGTACTAATGACATTATCTAATTGGGTCATGAAACATCTGCAAGAAAACCACCAAGCTCAGAGAGCACCAAGGACCCCTCAGTCCTCTCCTCCTCCTCCTCCTCCTCCTCCCCCCTCCCTTCTAGTACTAATGACATTATCTAATTGGGTCGTGAAACATCTGCAAGAAAACCACCAAACTCAGCACCAAGGACCCCTCAGTCTTCTCCTCCTCCTCCTCCCCTCCCCTTCACCCTCCTCCCTTCTAGCACTGATGACATTACCTAGTTGGGTCGTGAAACATCTGCAAGAAAACCACCAAACTCAGAGAGCACCAAGGATCCCTCAGTCCTCTTCTCCTCCTCTTCCTCCTCCCCCTCCCCCTCTCTAGCACTATTAGACATTATCTAATTGGGTCACGAAACATCTGCAAGCAAACCACCAAGCTCAGAGAGCACCAAGGACCTCATAGTCGCCCCCCCCCCACCTTCTCCTCTATATTAGAAGATTTCTAATGTATAATATCTTCTTGGAATATTCTCCTCTTTGCAAACCCCCCTCCCTTCTAGCATGGATGATATTAGTTAGGGCATAAAACATACGCAAGAAAACCACCAAGCTCAGAGGACCCCGTTGTTCAACACTGAGTTACAAACATTCTCTGCTATAAATTACCCTGTCTTTCTTCTTTTTCAACGTAGCTTTCTGACGTATAATCTCTGCCTGGCACGTTCCCCTCTCTGTGTCTTGCAGTTGTTCGTGGTGGACGTCCAAACTGGGCAGATCACCAAGATTCCCATCCTGAAGGATCGAGAACCCCACATAGTCAACCAGCAGGGCTGTGGTATTCATGCCATCGAACTCAACCCTTCCAGGACCCTCTTGGCCACCGGAGGGGACAACCCAAACAGCCTCGCCATTTATCGTCTGCCTACCCTTGATCCCGTCTGTGTGGGAGACGTAAGTTTCTGCAAATGGCAATGATGGAACGGGCTTGATCTTAGCTGTCGGGTTAGATCCGATGCGGATAGTCCTCAAGTTACAACAGTTTGTTTAGTGACCGTTCGAAGTTACCACGGCACTGAAAAAAGGCGACTTAGGATCGCTTTTCACACTTACGACCTTTGCAGCATCCCCAGGGTCACGTGATCAAAATTCGGCCGCTTGGCAACATGCCCATACTTATGACGGTCACAGCCTCCCAGGGTCACGTGATCCCCTTTTGCGACCTTTGGATAAGCAAAGTTGTGGGGGACGCCGGATTCACTTAACAGCCAGGTCACTAACTTATCAACTGCAGTAATTCACTTAACAAGGGAGGCCAGAAAAGTCGTAAAGCAGGGCAAAATTCCCGTCACACGTGTCTCACTTAACAACAGAAAATGTTTGGCTCAATTGAGGTCATAAGTCGAGGACTGTTGTCTTGCTAACTTAAGTAACTAGTCCAGGGGTAGGCAATCTCGACTCTTTTATGACTCCTGGACTTCAACTCCCAGAATTCCTGAGCCAGCCATGCTGAGGGGAAAGGGAGAGGTTTCTAAGCTGAGCCACTACCTCTCTTTTTGATTCTGCAGTTAGTCCTCGATTTATACAAGTTCATTTAGTGACCGTTCAAAGTTACAACAGCACTGAAAAAAGCAACTCACGACCATTTTTCATATTTGTGACCGTTGCAGCAGCCTCCCCCCCCCCTATAGTCACGTGATCAAAATTTGGGTGCTTGGTATGTGACGTGTGTTTATGACAACAGCACTGCCCCCCGAGGTCACATGATCATTGTTTGTGACCTTCCCAGCCAGCTTCCGACAAGCAAAGTCAATGGGGGAAGTTGGATTCACTTATTGACCAGCTGATTCACTTAACAACCGCAGTGATTTGTTTAACAACAGTGCCAGAAAAGGTTGTAAAATCAGATGCGACTCACTTAACTAGCGCCTTGCTTAGCAACAGAAATTCTGATCCCAATTGTCGTAAGTCGAGGACTGCCTGAACTACTGTAAAAATAATGTTAAAATTTCTTCAACGGTCGGAGAGAACTGACAGCATTACAGAAACCTTTTTTTTTTTTTTTTGCCTCCCATGTTATTCATTCTTTCTTTCCTTTTTAGGATGGGCACAAAGATTGGATATTTTCTATTGCATGGATCAGTGACACGATGGCTGTTTCGGGTAACACTCAAACTTTATTTTTTCAAATCATAATTTTTATAGGAGATGTATTTGGATTCATTCATTGCAGCCAGATCTAAGCAAAAGATTGAATAAAAAATATTGCAACATTCTATATCGGGGGTCTCTAACCATGGCAACTTTAAGACTTCTGGAATTCTGGGAGTTGAACTCCAGAAGTTGTAAAGTTGCCACAGTTGGAGATTCCTGTTTTCTCTTTCTCTCTGTGTGTGTGTGTGTGTGTGTGTGTGCGCGCGCACGCGCGTGCGTTTGTGTTTATGTATATATGCATATGTGTATCAAAGTAAAACAAGTATAATGGAATCTACAAATAATTAAAGAACATAGTTACTAAAATAAACCTCAATAAAATACTTCAAAAGAAATTTCAGTCCTAAGTAATTGTGCAGTGTATCGTACAAATAGTTGCATAGAACGGAGCAACTTATTTTTCAGTCCCTGTCTGAGAATAATAGCATTAAATAAAAATCACACTGCCTGCCTGGAACTTACTTCAAGATAGGGTGTATAATGGTCTATCCTTATGTACTGTATTTAGGGAACTATATAATAGCATATAGCCCTAGAGCAGGGGTAGGTAACCTTGGCTCTTTTATGACTCGTGGACGTCAACTCCCAGAATTCCTGAGCCAGCCATGGCTCAGCTTGGAAACTCTCCCTTTTCCCTCAGCATGGCTGGCTCAGGAATTCTGGGAGTTGAAGTCCACGAGTCATAAAAGAGCCAAGGTTGCCTACCCCTGGCCTAGAATTTCTACTGAAATACAAGGGATGAAAACTAAGAAGAACTGCAAATACAGCTTTTACTATTTCTCCTTTAATTGCTGCTCATTGTTTGCAGCGCAGGAAAGCTGGATGCTCCCCCTCTGTGTAATATTGTACCCTCTCATTTGCTTCCTTTTCTCTTTTTGATGTCCTGATGCGGCATTTTTAAATGGCCAGAGACTGATTAATCAGGACATATGGCTGGCCTCTTTAGGTATCGATTTATTAAATTTACAGTATGTCTCCCATCTCCCTGTTAAGTGATTCTGGGAGGCTGGCAGACCTAAGAAAAAAACAAGAGGTACGCACATAACAGCATGGTAGTTTTTAACCATTTAGTTGTGTAACGTTACAGGCAAGTGCTCTCGGTGCATTAAATATTAAGCAGAAATGAAGTACTGTATACAGCAGTGGTGGTGAACCTGTGGCACAGGTGCCAGAGGCGGCACTCGGAGCCCTCTCTGTGGGCACACGTGCCGTTACCCCAGCCTTGCCTCCCTCCGCAACCCCCTCCTCACCAGCAGCCCCCCTGGAGGAGAGTCGCCCCCGAGCGTGGCCCACGCAGAGCAGTGTAGCCAAGGACATGGCAGCCAGGCAGCGTAGACAAGACCTGCCCTCACACCCATTGCGCACAGTTGATGCTGCAGGGCATGGGCAGAGGGCGTGGCCGCCATGGTGCTGCTGGGCGATCTGCGGCGGGCCCTGGAGGCGGTGAGAGACCCTGCAGGCAGGTGGGGTGGGGGCGGAACAAGGGGTGGAGCGGGGGCAGGGCCAGTTTTTGGGCACTCGGTCTCTAAAAGGTTCGCCATCACTGGTATACAGGCAGTCCTCGGCTTACGGCCACAACTGAGCCCCACATTTCTGTTGCTAAGCAAGTCAGTTGTTAAGTGAATTTCCCCCCATTTTACGACCTTTCTTGTCACACTTGTTCGGTGAATCCCTGCAGTTGTTAAATTAGGAAGTGAAACTGACTTCTCCCATTGACTACTTGTCGGAAGCCAGCTGGGAAAGTTACAAAGGGGTGATCACATGACTCCAGGACTGTGCAACTGTCATAAGTGCATGCCAGTTGCCAGGGGTTCAAATTTTGATCAGGCTACCATGGGGATGTTGCAACGGTCGTAAATGTGAAAACCGGTCATAAGTGGTGGTGTAACTTTGAATGGTCACTAAATCAGGCATCTTCAAAATTGGCCCCTTTTATGACTTGTGGACTTCAACTCCCAGAATTCCTCAGCCAGGCACGCATGCCTGGCTGAGGAATTCTGGGAGTTGAAGTCCACAAGTCATAAAAGGGCCAAGTTTGAAGACCCCTACATTAAAGGAACAGCTGTAAGTCGAGAACTTCCTATAATTAGAATTGCACTCTGTAGAATTGGCTGAAATGGATAGCAGTCTGGGGTGCTGATCTGTAGAGAGCAGGATTCAAATTGTCTGGTTTAGTTTCTCTCACCCGGTAGTAGCCACTGGGTCTGCGGCAACTTGCCACAGCCAACTTGCTGTGACCACTTAACCTCCCTGGCAGCCTGCTTGCGACCCCCCTGGGGCTTGAAACTTCCTACCTGCACTGACTGTGGTTATTGTAAACCAGCAAGAAGTTGCAAGAAAAGGAGAGGAAATAGAAGAGAATATTTGTAGCACAGGGCGAACTGGGCTGGGTGGTTTTCTTGCAGATGTTTTACTATCAAACTACATAACATCATCAGTGCTAGAAGGGGGTAGGATTTGTGTAGAGGAGGAGGAGAGGAAGGGGGAGGACTGTGGGGTCCTTGGTGTGCTCTGAGCTTGGGTATTTTCTTGCAGACGTTTCATTACCCAACTAAGTAATATCATCCATGCTACAAGTGAGAGGATCTTGGTCTCTAGGACTGGTGATGTTACCTAGCTGGGTCATGGAACGTCTGCAAGAAAATCACCAAGCTCCTCCTAATCCCCCTTCCTTCCCCCCCTCCTCATCTCCACTCTACAAACCCCACTCCCTCCTAGCTCTGATGATGTTACCTAGTTGGGTAATGAAACGTCTGCAAGAAAACTACCAAGCTCAGAGATCACCATGGACCCCTCAGAAGGAGAAATTATGACCCACCATCCTCGCTTAACAACAGCAGCAGGGACTGCGGGGATTGCTGTCATTAAGCGATGCAGTTCACACGATGTCGCACTTCACACTTGCACTTCAGACTTGCTTAGCGACAGAAATTCCTGCCCCAATTGCCGCCGTGACTGAAGGACTCCATGTAAAACGATGGATTGGAGAATCAAAACTCTGAATTTCTGAACTTTGATAAAATCTACGCCAGTTTGGTTATGGAACTTGTCGTTTCGCTTGGTGAGGCCCTTTTTCTCAAGAGTTTATAATCATATTTCTGGCTTATCCAGAGGTGAAAACATGTTATGCCAAGCATATCGTATTTGTACTTTTATACTCTATTCGGGCTACAGGCATGTTTTGTATAGTTTGATCCTTTCTAACATTCTAAGCCATCCGGAGTTATTCTGTGGTAAGGCGGATGGCCTACCAATTTAATGTCTAAACCAGCGGTTTTCAACCTGTGGGTCGGGACCCCATTTAGGGTCGAACGGCCATTTCACGGGGGTCGCCAAACAACGCAGTCCGCCTTTTTTCCCCCCTTTGCCTTAGCTGTGCTACTCCCTTTTATTCTATTGGCTTTGGAAAGCCAATAGAATAGACTCTCTTGAATAGAGTCTAATTCTATTGGCTTTCAAAAGCCAATAGGAATTGTCCAGGCTGTCTGTGCCCTGCTGAGCCCGCCAAAAGTCCCATTCTGCAAACGGTGCTGCACCAGTTGAGTAGTCCTCGACTTACGATCTGTTGAATAGTCCTCGACTTAACGACTGGTTGGGGGGGGTCGCGGCATTAAAAAGGTTGAGAACCACTGGTCTAAACCAAGATTGTCCTCTCTTGGACCTGTGTTCGACGCGTGCTTGAACATGCTTCTTTCTGGTAGGTTCCCGAGATGGTTCAATGGGCCTCTGGGAAGTGACGGATGAAGTCTTGGCCAGGAGCGACGCACGGCGCAACCTGTCGCAAGTCCCCATCTACGCACACATCACCCACAGGGCTCTGAAGGACATTCCCAAGGAGAACACCAACCCAGCCAACTGCAAGGTCCGGGCGCTGGCTTTCAACCACAAGAACAAGGTTAGGAAAAACGAAGGAATTCAGCTGGAGATAACAACAGTTCGTTTAGTCCGCAGACAGTTATCCTGGTTCAGTGTCCTGCTAAGTCGTAAACCATCATTTACACATGAGAGTGGCTACATTCATGTCGTGCTAAGCCAAAACCAAGTGATCTGGTGACTTACAACCTTGACTTACAATCATTTGTTTAGTGACCGTTCGAAGTTATAATGGCACTGAAAAAAAAGGGACTGATGACCATTTTTCACACTTATTTATTTATTTATGAGACTTATATACCGCTTTAAGTGCAAGCACTCTCTAAGCGGTGTACACCAGTAAGCAATGTATATATATATATATTTACATTGCCCCCAACAATCTGGGTCCTCATTTTACCTACCCCAGAAGGATGGAAGGCTGAGTCAACCTTGAGCCGGTGAGATTTGAACCGCTGACCTGCTGAACACAGTCAGCTAAAGTGGCCTGCAGTACTGCACTCTAACTGCTGTGCCACCTCGGCTCTTAATGATTGTTGCAGTGTCCACATGGTCACGCTATCAAAATTCGGACACTTGACAATTGACTCTTATTTATGACAGTTGCAGTGTCCCATGGTCACGTGATCCCCTTTTGTGACTTTTCCAGCCGGCTTCTGATAAGCAAGTCAACGGGGGATGCCAGATTTGTTTCGTGGCCACATGGGGACCGCCAGATTCACTTAACAACTGTGTGACTAACTTGGTTAGGCAACCGTGGCTCTTTTATGACTTGTGGACTTTAACTCCCAAAATTCCTTAGTCAGCATGGAGGAATTCTGGGTATTGAAGTCCACAAGTCATAAAAGTACCAAGGTTGCCTATCCCTGAACTAACTCAACCACTGCAGTGATTCACTCAACAATTGTGGTAAAAAAAAATTATAAAATGGGGAAAGCTCACTTAACTGTCTCGCTTAGCAGTGGAAACGTTAGGATCAATTGTGGTCGTAAGTTGAGGACTGCCTGCGTGTGAACTCCACCTCTGTTTTCAGAAAAACAAAATGGCTAATTATTATTGGTGCAAGCAGAAACTTTCCTGTCCCAGCCATGTGAACGGTTAATATTTTCCTCTTCCAGGAATTGGGAGCTGTTTCTCTGGATGGGTATTTCCACCTCTGGAAAGCGGAACACATGCTGTCAAAGGTGAGTTCCTCCACACCTGTGCACAGAAGGGAATTTAAACTAGAATTTCCTGGTTTAGGCCTAAGGGAGAACTTTGGCTTTGTGCTGGGTTGTGCTGACTCTTGAATGCATGGCTGTGTGTCTATGTGTCTGTGTCTGGCTCGTGACTCTAGCACAGGGGTAAGCAACCTTGGCTCTTTTATGACTCATGGACTTCAACTCCCAGAATTCCTGAGCCAGCATGGCTCCGCTTGGAAACCTCTCCCTTTCCCCTCAGTGTGTGTGACTCAGGAATTCTGGGAGTTGAAGTCCACGAGTCATCAAAGAGCCAAGGTTGACTCCCTCTTCTTTGTGGCAGGCCCTCAGATACTGGAAGGCTGCTATCCTGTCACCTCTCATCCTTCTCTTCATTAGACTAGACCAAGAGTAGGCGACCTTGGCGCTCTTATCACTCATGGACTTCAACTCCCAGAATTGCTGAGCCAGCATGGCTCAGCTTGGAAACCTCTCTCTTTCCCCTCAGCATGGCTGGCTCAGGAATCCTGGGAGTTGAAGTCGACGAATCATAAAAGAGCCAAGGTTACCTAGCCCTGCCCTAGCTTTTCTTGGCAACTTGGTTGAAAAGTTACAGTACAAAGAGAATTCAAGCTCTTTTCTAGCTTCTTCTGAACCACTTTTACTTTGTTGTGGGAGTTCACTCCCCCCCCCCCGGGTTTGTTTCTTTGAATATCTTTTTCTTTTCTTTTGAGGGCATAAGAATAGCTTGGTGGGATCAGGCAAGTTTCTTTATTTTCGGTCCTCAAAGATGTGTGCGTTTAAAAAAAAGGAAATCCTGCTGTGTTGCAAAATTTCACATCAAAATTTTCTGTACACGTTTCCAAGAGAGAAAGGAAGGAACTTCTTATTGACTTAAGTGGCACGCATAACATCAAAGCCTAAAATCAAGTGCTTTGTTTAAACAAAGGATTGTTTGTGATCTGTGATGCAATTTCTCTGTTACGAGTACTCCTTGAGTTACAACTAGTCTCTTAATGACCATACAAAGTTAACAATGGTTGGGGCCAATACTTAGACATATTATTTATAACAGACCTGGGCATTTTACAGCCCTTGGGCCATGTCCGGCCTTTGGCTGTCCTGCCTGTACTGCATGAGGTCAATCGGAAATTAAAGATCAGATGTAAATAATGCCTTGGTGAGACCACACTTGAAATATTGTATCCAGTTTGGTGACCACTATATAAAAAAGATGTTGAGACTCTGGAAAGAGTGCAGAGAAGAGCAACAAAGATGATCAGGGGACTGGAGGCTAAAACAGATGAAGAATGGTTGCTGGAATTGGGTATGTCTAGTTTAATGAAGAGAAGGACGAGGGGGGACATGATAGCAGCCTTCCAATTTCTCAGGGGCTGCTGCAAAGTAGAGGTGGGTCAGCTTATTCTCCAAAGCATCTGAAAGACAGGACAAGAAGGAATGGCTGGAAACTAATCAAGGAGAGAAGCAACCTCGAATTAAGGAGAAACTTCCTAACAGTGAGAACAATTGACCAGTGGAACAACCTGCCTCCAGAAGTTATGGGTGCTCCAATGCTGGAGTTTTTTTTTTTTAAAGAGATTGGACAGCCATCTGAAATGGTATAGCATCTTCTGCTTGAGCAGGAGCTTGGACTAGAAGACCTCCAAGGTCCCTTCTATTTCTGTTATTCCGTTATTCTGCATTGCTTTTATTTTGAAGGTGACTGCCATTTTTTTTTCTATTTTTTTTTTCAAGGGCACCTTCACAGCTCTATTGGTTTGGCCCTCCATAACAGTCCCAGTTTCTCATATGGCCTCTTGGCCTCCCTACCCCACCTATAATCTTAGGCCTACCAGCTTCAGCTCTGGTCTGGAGGAACCAGCCTCTGTTATGCATGCTTCGGTCATATCTGAGTTGGGTTGGATATTGGGCACCTTATCCGGAATCTCCTCTAAGCATATTATTCATGTACTCCAGCTGTAAATACTTGCAGACGTGGTTCTCATTCTGGTTCCAATTATTTAAACGTCCTTCAGATATTTTGTGTTTCCTGGTGTCCTCTGGTTTTCATCGGCTTTTCTCTTTCTCACTTTTGTAGCTACTCTCAACCAAGTTACCCTACTGCCGGGAAAACGTGTGTCTGGCCTATGGTCAGGAGTGGTCGGTGTACGCCGTTGGCTCTCAGGCCCACGTCTCTCTCCTGGACCCCCGACAGCCTTCCCACAAAGTTAAGTCTGTCTGTTCCAGAGAGCGAGGAAGCGGTAAGGATGCTTTATATTGAACATTCTTATTTGTGTTAAGAATTTGTTGAGATCCAGCTCTTTTTTTTCAACTTGGTACCTTGTAGATGTTTAAAGATCCTTCCTTCCTTCCTTCCTTCCTTCCTTCCTTCCTTCCTTCCTTCCTTCCTTCCTTCCTTCCTTCCTTCCTTCCTTCTTTTTTCTTTCTTTCCCTCTTCCTTCCTCCCTTCTTCCTTCCTTCCTTCCTTCCTTTCTTTCTCTTTCTTTCTTTCTCCTCTTCCTTCCTCCTTCCCTCCCTTCTTCCTTCCTTCCTTCCTTCCTCTTTCTTTCTTTCCTTTCCTTTTCTTTTCTTTCTCCCAATTCATGGGGAAATGAATAATGAATAACCTCCACCAACCACTTGCTGGGCTCTCTACCAGCTTGGGGTTCTTCAGGCTCATTGGCAAAACCACCTCTTCAGGGCCTTTCCAAAGAGTGTCGAGGTGGGAGCCCATCCTATCTCTGTGGGGATGATGTTCCACAGGGAGGGAGCCACCATGGAGAAGACCCTTCTTCTTGGTCCGACCAGATGAAACTCCTTAAGAGAGGGGATCTGCAACATTCCCTGCCTCTCCACTTTGATAGGCCAGGGTAGATATAACTTGGGAAACGACAGTCCTTCTGGCCCCAAATCATGTAGGTGACCACCTGCACCTTGGATTAGACCCAGAAGCAAATTGGCAGCCAACGCAGCTCCTGCAAGAGTGGTGTCATGGTGCAAATCTTTGAAGATCTCCAGGGATCTTCACTGGGAAAGCAGAATATAGTGGTCCATCCCTGGGCTGTTTGGCTACCTTCTGGAAGCCGCTGCTGCCATTTTGGCACAACCACGGGGGATTGTCCACGGTCCTCGTGTCGATTGTGTATGGAGAATGTCTAGATAAAGTCAGCAACCCATCACTTGGTACCAAGCTGATACGTTCAGGGAGCTAAAAAGACCCTCACCCAAATTTTCCTCTGTTAACCACCTGTTGCTACTCACAATTCTTCTGCTTCCTTTCTAAAGTCCCCCTAGCCCAGTGGTTCTCAACCTGTGGGTCGGGACCCCATTTGGGGTCAAACGACCATTTCACGGGGGTCGCCAAACAACGCAGTCCGCCATTTTTTTCCCCCTTTTCCTTAGCTGTGCTACTCCCTTTTATTCTATTGGCTTTCCAAAGCCAATAGGAATTGTCCAGGCTGTCTCTGCCCTGCTGAGCCCGCCAAAAGTCCCATTCTGCCAACGGTGCTGCACCAGTTGAGTAGTCCTTGACTTACGACCGGTTGAGTAGTGCTCGACTTACGAACGGTTGGGGATCACGGCATTAAAAAGGTTGAGAACCACTACCCTAGCATGTCGTCCCTGATTCATAACAATGCTGAGCATGTGTGAACGTTTTGAGTTTCACCAAACATGGATACTTGAAAAGTGTATTCTGAAAATAAGTGCAGGTAGTCCTTGACTTAAAACCATTCATTTAACGGCTGTCCAAAGTTATAACAGCACTGAAAATAGTTGACTTATGATCAGGTTTTACACTTATGAGCATTGCGGCATCCCCACGATCAAACTTTGGGGGTTTTTTGGCAACCAGCATGTACAGGTAATCCTTGAGCCCCACACTCCTGTTGCTAAGTGAGACATTTGTTAAGTGGGTTTTGCCACATGTTACGACCTTTCTTGCCACAGTGAATCACTGCAACTGGTACGTTAGTAACGTGGTTGTTAAGTGGATCGGGCTTCCCCGTTGTCTTTCCTTGCCAGAAGGCCGCAAAAGGGGATTGTATGACCCCCGGGACGCTGCAACTGTCATAAATATGAATCAGTTGCTGAGCATATGAATTTTGATCACGTGACTATGGGGGGAACGCTGCAACGTTCATAAGTGTGAAAAACGGTCATAAGTCACTTTTTCCAATGCTGCTATAACTTCGGATGGCCACTAAATGAGCAGGTTTTTTAAAAAAATATATTTTATTAGATTTTATATGGGTAGGGAAAAGGTGGGGTCAGGGCGGGTACAGGGAAATCGGGATAAAGGGGACAGGGTGTGGATAACTACAGTAAATACTTAATTCAGTGAACAAGCTGTCGTCCGGGTCTTCATATTGAGTATTATTGTTTATATAATACTAGACATTTATAAGAATAAATCAGTATAGTTACAACTGACATTTGGTAAAACAGTAATATTCCTTTAAATAATTCACATAGTTGATAGCATAACAACTATTTCCAATCATCAAGCTTAATACTTAATATAATAAAGCTCTAAAATCTCTTCTTATTCTAACGTGTTTCAACCCACTGATAAAATTTTCCCCAGGTTTTATAGAAGATTGAATCTTCTTTCTCCTTCATCTCTAACATGAATCTGTCCATTTCTGCACAATCTAGGATTTTCAAAATTATAATCTGGTCTGATGGTAGGCTTTCATTTTTCCAAAATTGGGCGAATACTATTCTTGCAGCTATTAATACATGTAATATTAAATAATCATTTTCTTTGCCATAATTAGGTCTTAATATACCTAACAGGAACAGTTCTGGTTTAAATTCTATCTGGATTTTCATCATCTTTTCTAACCACCTGTGAATCTTAGACCAATATTTTTTTGCAATAGAACATGTCCACCAGGTATGATAATAAGTACTCGGTTTTTGCTTACATTTCCAACATGTATCCGATAAATTTTTAAACATTTTCGCTAAGCAAACTGGTGTCATATGCCATCTATAAAGCATTTTATATAAGTTTTCTTTGTATGTTACTGCTTTAGTAAGTTTGATATTTTTATCCCACAGTTTTTGCCAGTCTTCTAATTCTATAGAATATCCAAAGTTCTTCGCCCATACTGTCATTGTCTCTTTTACTTGTTCTTCTTCCATCTTCCAAATTAATAAGTATTTATAAAGCTTCTTAATCAAATGTTCATCTGTTTTTAAAAGTATTTTATCAAGTGGGGTCAGCAAATGAGCAGTTTTAAATCAAGGATTACTACAATGGTTGCAGTATCCTGGGATTCTCCTTTGCAGCCTTAGGGAACTTCTGACAAGCAAAGTCAACGTAGGAAGCCAGATCCACTTAACGTCCACATCATTCCCTTAACTTCAGCGATTTGCTTAACTGCAGTGGCTAAAATCGTAAAATAGGCCGTGATTCACTTAACAACACTCTTGCTTAGCAATGAAGCATTGAGCAAGTTTTGGGCTCAATTGTGGTCGTCAGTCAAGGACTAGCCGTAGGGCCAGGATTTGTCCCGATTTCCATAATACATCCACCTCTCTTCCGTGACAGGCATTCGCTCAGTGAGCTTCTACGAGCACATCATCACGGTGGGGACTGGACAGGGCTCCTTGCTGTTTTACGACATCCGAGCCCAGAGGTTCTTGGACGAGAAGCCATCACACAATTACTACGGATCAAAATTGGCAGGAAATGAAATTCTCAAACTCTCCACTGGCAAAGGTTGGCTGGTGAGTAGTGGTAGAAGGAAAAACTGGGGGGGGGGGTTCATGTATGCTTTCTGGGGATTGAGAAGTAGCCATGAGGCTACAGAGACTCTTAGAAACCAGATTCATCCTGCAATATCCTTAGTCTGTATGGTCAAGGTGGAAGTGATGACTGGCCAGCTAAAACCGAGGAAGGATGAATTCCAAAACTTCACCAGCAATCACTCAATCAACGAGAGCCAGTTTGGTTTAGTGGTTAAGGCACCCAGCTAGAAACCAGGAGACAATGAGTTCTAGTCCCGCCTTAGGCATGAGAGCCAGTTGGGTGACTCTGAGCCAGTCAGTGGGAGATGGCAGGTTCTAGTTCTGCTTTAGGCATGAAAACTGGCTGGATGACTTTGGGCCAATCACTAGGAGATGGTGAGTTCTAGTCCCACCTTAGGCATGTTAGTTGGCTGACTTTGGGCCAATCACAAGGAGACGGGGAGTTCTAGTCCCTCTTTAGGCAAGAAAACTACCTGGGTGACTTTAGGCCAATCACTAGGAGACGGTGATTTCAGTGGTGGGATTCAGCTGGTTCACACCAGTTTGGCAGAACCGGTAGCTAATTTTTTGTTGCCCAGGCCCAGAATGGACTTCCAGAAGCGGCATCCACATAGAGAACCAGTTGTTCACATATTTGAATCTCTCCACTGCCCACCTTAGGCATGTTGGCTGGGTGACTTTGGGCCAATCACAAGGAGACAATGAGTTCTAGTTCCACTTAGGCACGAAAACCGTCTGGGTGACTTTGGGCCAATCATCAGGAGTATGTGAGTTCTAGTCCCGCATTAGGCAAGAAAGCAAACTAGGCGACTTTGGGCCAGTCCCTCTCTTTCAGCCCATGATATCAGGCGCAAGTGACATGCTGGTCAGTTAATTGCTGTTGCTACACATGATTGATGAAAAAAACACCAGAATCTAAATAATAAATAAATAAATAAATAAGCAAAAACTGGTGGGATCATAAAATAGAGAAAGTCATAGAAAATGATAAAATTAAACTGCTCTGGGACTTCAGAATTCAAACAGACAAGCACCTGCAACATAACACCCCAGACTTAACAATTGTCGATAAGAAAGACAAAAAAGTCTGGATAGTAGACGTGGCAGTGCCTGGAGACAGCAGAATAGAAGAGAAAGAACTGGAGAAGATAACAAAATACAAAGACCTACAAATAGAAATAGAAAGACTGTGGCAAAAGCAAGCAAGGGTAGTACCAATAGTCATAGGCTCCTTGGGTGCAATCCCAAAAGAACTGGAGCACCACTTGAACACCATTGGCATTGACAAATTCACCATTAGTCAATTGCAAAAGGCGGCCTTACTAGGAACTGCTTCCATCCTGCGACGATATCTGCAATACCATCAAACATCCACATCTGCCTATCCCAGGTCCTGGGTAAGGACTCGATAGGTAGACAAAATGCCAAATCCAGTCTGAACATCTGGCTGACTGTGCGATGATCGATAATAATAATAATAATAATAGTTGGAAGGGACCTTGGAGTCCCTGCAGCAGTTCACTTAACAACGGTGGCAAGAAAGGTTGTAAAGTGGGGCAAAACTCAGTGAACAACTATCTCACTTAGCAAGGGAAGTTTCGGGCTCCATTGCGGTTGTAAGTCGAGGACTACCTCTACAGACCAGCTCTTGGGAAGGTTGCAAACATGGTTACAGCTCTAACCGAAATCCACTTTCCTTTCACAGAATCATGACGAAACCTGGAGGAATTACTTTTCAGACATCAGCTTCTTCCCCAACGCCGTTTACACACACTGCTATGACTCGTCGGGCACGAAGCTTTTCGTGGCAGGAGGCCCACTTCCTTCCGGACTCCATGGGAACTACGCCGGCCTCTGGAGCTAATGACGCTTTCCGAAAAAGCTTCTCGAGCGTGACTTTGTTTTTTTTTTTTTTTTTTCTTCTCCTTACCCTCACCCTTGTTTTCTTTCCTTTTTTAAAAAACAAAAGGATTTGTGTGTGGTGACATTCCCGTCTTCTGGTTTTGATGCCACTTGGGGTTTAATCTTTTTTTTTTTAAGGAGGGGAAACCGTCGATCCTGTTGGTCTCCCAGCGGTTTTTTGTACGTTTTTAAAATGTTTTTTTTTTGTTGTTGTTGTTGACCTGCTTTGATCTTTCTACAGTAGACTGGGGGTTGGCACCCTTTTTATTGCGTTTCCTAAAAATGGCGGAGTCATTGCCCCTCCCTCCCCGAGCTCAGACTGATCAACCAACCATAGGTCTCATTTTTCTTCTCTTACTTCGCTGTGAGGTAGGAATCCTCAATTAGATCGGCTGCTGCCGAGCTTTCTATGAAAGCCCAGGGGCTGTGTGTGTGTGCGCGCGTGTGTTTGTGTATACATGTATGTGCAGGTATTTTGTCAGTCACATTTCCTGGAATAAAAACAATCTAATTAAACATCAAAACGTATTTATATGACAGAGCCCCCTATACCTAATCCGCAGAGTTAGGCCTGCCCTTTAACTCTGGGCCATCTTTAAAAAGTCCAGGTTTTACAATGAAGCTGTTTTTGTCACTGATCCAACGTGGGACCTCCATCTTAAGTGTGCTGCCCTTGTACAGTTTGCTCTATGTCCTGCCCTTGTCTTCCTTCCTTCTCTCCCCAAGGATGAGACGGTCATGGTGGGGACACAAGCTGGCTGGGGGTGAAGCTCACCTTAACCAATCTTGTGCCTTGAAGGTATGCAAAGGTAAAGCATCTTAAAGAGAAAGGATCTCTTAACTGCCTCCTGAGTCACGGGACTGGTGGGTGACGTACCATTTGTGCAGAAGGATAGCTTTTGAGTCTAGATCAGTGGTTCTCAACCTTTTTAATGCCGCGACCCCAACCGGTTGTAAGTCAAAGACTACCCAACCTGTCGTAAATCAAGGACTTTCCCTGCCCGGGAGCGCCGCGCATGCGTGGTGCCACCCCCTGCGCCGGCCGAGGCGTAGCTGGCAAGCGGCAGCGATGGTGCAGGGCGACCACCGGCTGGGCCACCAGCTGGCCCAGCCCAAGGGAGGTAAGGCACCCGCCGGGCCCCATGTGCGCCAGCAACCCTCCCTGCGCCCGCTGGCCTCACACCTCCCACCCCTGGCCCTCTTTTACTTACATTTTTAGTAGTTGCTCAGCAGGAAGGGGTGGAAGCTTCCAGACAGCTCGCCTTCGCTGCAGATAACTTGCAGCACCATTTGCAGACTGGGGCTTTTGGTGGGCTCAGCAGGGCAGAGACAGCCTGGACAATTCCTATTGGCTTTTGAAAGCCAATAGAATTAGACTCTATTCAAGAGAGTCTATTCTATTGGCTTTCAAAAGCCAATAGAATAAAAGGGAGTAGCACAGCTAAGGAAAAGGGGGAAAAAATGGGGGACTGCGTTGTTTGGCGACCCCCGTGAAATGGTCGTTCGACCCCAAATGGGGTCATAACCCACAGGTTGAGAACCGCTGGTCTAGATCAGGGGTCTTCAAACTTGGCCCTTTTATGACTCGTGGACTTCAACGCGTGCCTGGCTGAGGAATTCTGGGAGTTGAAGTCCACGAGTCATAAAAGGGCCAAGTTTGAAGACCCCTGATCTAGACAGTCCTCAACTTAACAAGCGTTCTTTAATGACTGTTCAAAGTTACAACGGTGTTCAAAAAAAAGAGGACTTACGACAATTTTTCACACGGACAGTTGCAGCCTCCCCACGGTCACTTGATCAGATTTCAGGCTGTTGGCAACTGGTTCATATTTATGACGGTTGCAGTGTCCTGGGGTCACATTGATCCCCTTTTGAGATTCGCTGAGAAGTAAAGTCAATGGGGAGGCCAGATTCACTTAGCAACCCATGTTATTAACTTAACAACTGCAGTGATTTAGCTTAACACCTGAGGCAAGAAAGGTAAGGTTGTAATCCGGGGCTGTCTCGCTTAGGAATGGAAATTTTGGGTTCACGTGTGGTTGTTAGTTCGAGGACTATATGTGTCATGGGAAGAACAATTTGAGGCACATAGCCACTCTTCAGAAGGTTGAATGAACTCAGCAACAAGAGCAAACCTTGAATGATTGTAGCAAGTGTGTCTCTGGTCACACAACAATTGTTGTTGTTAGTTGCGAAGTCGTGTCTGACCCATCACGACCCCATGGACAATGTTCCTCCAGGCCTTCCTGTCCTCTACCATCTTCTGGAGTCCATTTAAGCTCACGCCTCCTGCTTCAGGGACTCCATCCAGCCACCTCATTCTCTGTCGTCCCCTTCTTCTATTTGCCCTCCATTTTTCCCAGCACTAGGCTCTTCTCCAGTGAGTCCTTCCTTCTCATTAGGTGGCCAAAGGACTTGAGTTTCAACTTCAGGATCTGGCCTTCTAAAGAGCAGTTGGGGTTGATCTCCTCCAGGACTGACTGGTTTGATCGCCTTGCAGTCCAGGGGACTCGCAGGAGTCTTCTCTAGCACCATGGTTCAAAGGCCTCCATTCTTTGGCGCTCAGAATTTCTTTAACTATGCTTTGCTCCACAAGCATAATGCTGAACTCAAACTTTGATGCTACAGCTCCCATAATCTAGGTCAGTCGTGCACTCAGGTTTCTAAAATAGGAATCAGTGTCTCCTTTCCATTACAAAGACATTTCTTATTTCCTGAATAAACTGGTATCCCAGCCCTGAAGCCGACCTTCAGTCAGATGGGTTGCTAAATAAAAAAACTGTAGAGAGTCCCCTTCTGTGTGCTTGGTGGAGGACAGGGAGACTAGCAGCACTGCCCTGTCCCAGGATACTTTGTCTTGCTGCGGAATTGCTGATCACTTTTGGCCAGCAGTTTTGTTCCCAAATAACGGTATGAGCCACCTGTGAGATAACTAAAGGACGTCTTCTTTCTGTAGAGATAATCTTTTCAACAGGCATAATTTGAAAGGGAACTTTTCGATCAGATCCCTTAGAGTTGCAAGAGATCAAGTGCTTGATGCCGAGCTCACAGCAGACTGGATGAACATTATACTACAGTTGGTCCTCGACTTACAACAGTTCATTTAAGGACCACTCAAAGTTACAATGGCACTGAAAAAAGTGACTTATGACCAGTGTTCACTCTTAACCACTGTTGCAGTATCCCTGTCACGTGGTCAAAATTCAGACATTTGGCAACTGACTCATAGTTACGACAGTCACAGTGTCCCGCGATCATGTGATCCCCTTTTGTGATCTTCTGACAAGCAAAGTCAATGGAGGAGCCAGGTGCACTTAAGAACCGTATTACTAATGTAATGACTGCAGTGATTCACTTAGCCACTGCGGCAAGAAAGGTGATAAAATGGAACAAAACTCACTTAACAAATGTCTCACTTAACAACAGAAACTTTGGGCTCAATTGTGGTCGTAAGGTGAGGACTACCTGTGCAATGTTGGAATGAATTTGCTTTGTTTTCCAGCCAATAGAGAAGGGTTATCCAAAGCTAACTGGAGCTTCAAATGTTTTTTTGGACATGGGATTCATTTTTTCCAGGCCGTTTTCTTGTGCAACAAGGAGCGTGCGTGTAACATGCTGCTATTATTTTAAAATTCCCAGAAGCCCAACAAAATCTGTCTCTTAGATCAGCAGCCTGCTGCATCTTTATAGGATCTTCTTCTTCTTCTTCTCCTCCTCCTCCTCCTCCTCCTCCTTCTGCCATATCCATTATCAGAAGTTGGCGATCATGTTGGCAACCTGGTTTTATCAGCAGCCACAAGAAAAAGTGCTGCTGAGTTTTGTCCAAACCAATCCCTTAGATTTTGAAGCCATGATGTTCTTCTTCTGCCTGACCTCATTTGCCTTCAATCTTTCCCTGGAGGATTAAATGGAGTATGCCGTATTTTTCTGGGTGTCGCATCACATGTCCGAAATATTCTAATTTTCGTTTTTTAATTGTTTTGATGATTTCCCTTGGCTTTCCCAGGTGGCTTACCAATTTTTTTTTATCTATTTGGATTTTCTAGTCATCCAAATAGTTTGCATTGCTGTCTTGGCTTCGGACACAATAATGGCTTTCAATGGGATGGAAATACCTCTGGAAGAGAAACTCTTCCACAAAAAGAGGTCTATTTTATTTTAGAGGTTGGCGATTCTTTCTGGAAAAGTAGAGCTTTCTCTGGTGGATCACCCCCACCCAAACTCCTGTGGGGGGGTGGTGCTATGCTCCTGAAGGTAGTCCTCAAATTACAATAGTTTGTTTCGTGACTGTTCAAAGTTACAAAAGCACTGAAAAAAATAACGTGACTATTATTTTTTATAACTTACAAACATTGCAGCATCCCCATGATCACGTGACTGAAATTCAGAGCTTGTCGACACTCATTTATGACGGTTGTAGTGTTCCACTGTCACATGGTCCCTTTTGCGATCTGACGAGCAAAGTGAATGGGGAAGCCAGATTCACTTAACAACTGTGTGGCCAACTTAACTGCACCGGTTCGCTTAACAACTTTGGCAACAAAGGTCATAAAATGGGAAAAATTCACTTAACAAATGTTTCACTTAGCAACAGAAATTTTGGGCTCCATTGTGGTCATAAGTCAAGGATTACCTGTGCTTTAGCAGCTGATGTATCTTGGGTGTTTGCCTTCCTGCAAAGTTCACTTGTAGACAAATTCATACCTTTACTCCAGGATCTGAAAAAAATAAAACATACAGGCAGTTCTTGAGTTACATCTACTTGTTTAGTGACAATGGCACTTTAAAAAGTGACTTACGACTGGTTTTCACACTTAGAATCTGTTGAAGCATCCCTGTATTCACGTGATCAAAATTCAGACGCTTGGCAACTGGTTCATATTTATGACAGTTGCAGTGCCCCGGGGTTGTGTGATCACCATTTGTGACATTCCCAGCCGGCTTCTGATAAGCAAGTCAATGGGGGATGCCAGATTTGTTTTATGACCGCATGATTTACTTAACAATGGCAATGATTCGCTTAACACAGAGGTCTTCAAACTTGACCCTTTTATAACTTGGCCCTTTTATGACTGGTGGATTTCAACTCCCAGAATTCCTCAGCCAGCTTGCCTGGCTGAGGAATTCTGGGAGTTGAAGTCCACCAGTCATAAAAGGGCCAAGTTTGAAGACCCCTGGCTTAATAACTATGGCAAATAACCAAAAAAGGCTACTCTAGCATTCAAAGTCTGCAGAATTTGGGGAAAAGGAAGGAGAAGAATCTTCATAAACATAATGGACTCCCCGGATGTGACTGCAGTTACAAACAATAGTATTTTGCATATGTTTTTAATCATTTTAAAAATTCTGCCTTAGAAAAGCGATATAGCTAAAAGAGGTCTTTTGTTTTCAGCTGTGTTTCTACAGTGTCACTTGGTACTTGGTGAAGGAGAGACCTTTTAAGTGTCTTCTTTCTGAGCTGAGTTTTATCCTACATACAGATTGATGAATTTGCCTGACTTGAGGGATAAGACAGC